CAGGGAATCTGCTCCAGTCTGAAGTGGCAGCCCTGGTCCCTGGTCCTGAAAATGGCCAGTGTGGTGGGGAACACAGAGCCCAGGCCCCCTGTGACAGGGGAGGTCCCTGGAGGAGCCTGGGACGGATAGAGGCACAGCTCCCACGGGCCTCAGGGTTGGGTGAGCAGGAAGAGAGCCCCTTCCCTCAGAAAGCTTGCAGGCTGGGGGGCCACCCTGTGCTGCCCTCAGGGGCTCCCCAGTCTGATGGGAGAGGTTCTGACCTTGGGAAATTTCCAGAACACAGAGTTTCTAATCCTCCGGCAAAGACGCAGTCCCTGCCTCCAGGGTTTCCCTGACAGTCCCAGCGAAGGGCTGGGGCCAGCGAAAGGGCACAGGATGGAGATGGCCATGCCCGAGCCCCGGCCTGCTCTTCCCCACCACAGATTAGAACACACAGCTCTCACCGAACCCACCAAGCGGGGTCAAGGGGAGCCCCGCTGGGCCCAGAGGAGGGAGCCCTGTGACCAGCGAGTCTCCTCATCTGAGCCCGTGTCCTCTCTCAAAAATGCCAATGGTTGTGGGTTGGGGAAGATAAAGGTGTCTTAGCCAAAGGGACCCAGAGCAAGGACTGGACAAAGTGGATACTGTTCCTATGGGAATGGGAGGGACAGGGAGGAAGGTGGCCAGGGCTGGGGCGGGGGCGGGCCTGAGAGCATTGTGCCCAGGGTGCAGGGGGCAGGTGCAGGTGGCCCCTCCTCTGTCCTCAGTAGGGTGATGGATGGCAGGGCACCAAGGCCTAGACCAGCCTGGAGAGGACCATTGTCTTGGAAAATGAGGTTTAGCGTCCCTCAGGGATGGCTCCATCTGCTTTTATTGTTCCCAAGGCAGCCCTGGGACTCCACCAGGCCAGGCCTCACACCTCAGGAAACCTGTGTGGGACTTGGGGGCTTCTCGGAGGCCTTGGACCCCCCCTCCCAGGGCTTCCCACTTTGTGCTCCTCATGCTCTGTCCTCCCCACCTCCTGAGTGTGGGTCTCAGCTCCTGCTGGACTGGGGTACTCAACACTCCGCTGAGCAGCTTGTGCGTGTGTTGGCGGGGAAACCCAGCTCCCTGTAGTCCCCAAACTTCACTGTTGCGGTGCCCAGACAATTTAACATCATTTGCCATTTGGTCAGACTAATCACTTAATCTTCAAGTGACAAAATGCCTGCTGTCTGGGTTCTGGCAGAGGCCGGTATGGAGTGGTAAAATACCTGGGGTCCAACAAGCCTGGCCCCAGTTGTGAATCCTGGCTCCAACACCTAATAGCTGTGGGACCTCAAATAAGCCAATTAACCTCTCTGGGCTTCAGTTCCCCGTCTGAACAATGACTATGTTTGTCTGGGTAGCATTTATCGGGCATCCTATTCTGGGCCTAGAGCTTTATATATGTCCTAATTTAGTCTATTGAAGTTGACAGCATTTTTCAGATATCACCACAATGGTGACTTGGTGATATCAGGATGAAGACTTTGAGGGACTAGCCTGAGATCACATGGTAGAGCTTCGATCAAACCCACAGCACCATCTCCTCCCACTTTGACCACTCCTCATGCCACCATGCAGTAACCAGTCCCAGCGCAGCTGCTGTGATTCTCGGAGACTGGTGACATGTGCTCGGGGCTTCACCCAGAGCCTGGCACACAGAGGACACTTAAAAACTTTAGATCCTACAGTGAGGCCATCCTACCGCTCTGGATTCCAGCAGGAGCCTCATGTCCACTCCCCTGTCCCCCACCCCATCAAAGAGGTTGTACCAGATGGTCAGTGCCAGCGTGGGATTGCCAAACTGCAACCTGAGTGGGGGACCCCTGGAGGCAAGCATTCAGCCATGTCCATGACCTCCCGAGGGAGAGCCTGTTGCCCTGTTGGCCTCAGAGCTCCGCCCCCTGAGGAAGGGCTGGAGGGGGACGGGCAGGGAGGGCCAGGAGCAGAAAGGGGGAGACAGGTCTCAACCCAGTGGGCAGAGTAGATGTTCCAATGACGGGTCCCTGGAGAACATGCCTAGGAGTCCTCCCTGGAGGGAGCCCCTGCTCTTCCCAAGCTTTGGAGTCAGGGAGGCTGGGGTGCATGTACCTGCTCCAGCACATCCCTGGCAGAGATAAGTGACATACCTCACTGGAGGTCACATAGCTGCTAAGTGACCAGCTGGGATGCAAACCCAGTCTGCATGGTGAGTCACTTGCCTGGTCCCCTTTGCCTCCTGCTCATCAGGCGTAGAGATCATCCTCATCTTCCAAAATGAAGCAGAGTCCAGAAACACAAAGATTTTCCCGTAGCTGGCTCCCCGGCCAGCCTGCTCAGCCAGAGTCCCTGTAGTACCCCCGACCTGGCCAGCAGGACCCAGAAGAGCTCAGGAAGAAGGTGCAGCTTGCAATGTTCTATTCCTTCCTGCCCCTTGACCGAGGATGGCATGTAAGATAACAAATGTGGGCCGACACAGGCCACAGTGGGGGAGACCCTGCCCCACCCAGGGAAGGGCAGACAGTTTCCAGATCAGATCAACGGGAGCAGGCCATGCAGAGCCAGGGAGGCAAGGAGAGCAACGGCTTCTCCACAGGAGGGGCCATCTGCCCTTGGCATGCAAGGTTGGGCAGGCTTGGGCTGAACACAGGGACAGAGACGGTTCAGACAGAGGAAGAGCCCTTGCAGGATCGCAGAGGAAGTGGGGGGCGGAATGATCTGTCCCAAGTGCTGAACCCAGGATGCAGATGGGGGAATGGGGGAGGCAGGCAGGATAGAGAGGGAGTCTAGTTAATCCAGTGGCCACAGGGGCCACTGAAGGGTTTGGGTGGTGGAGAGGGATGGGTTCCATGTGAGTGAGAGTCCTGGAGGGTCCCCATGAGCTTCCTTGGGGTTGTAGGAGCAGCTTGCTTGAGCAAGGCTGTGGCCTGAGAACGCAGGGACAGGGATGACCTGAAGGACCAACATTGCTAAAGCTGGATCACGGGCAGGAGCCTGGAAGGGGCGGGTGGATGCCTGTGTGAGCGGGTGTGTGGGGTGTCCCCAGCCCCTTCTTGCCCCTCTAGAAGGAAAGCTCCAGGTGGCAGCCTGGCTGAGGTTGAAACAAAAACTCAGCCAGGGCAGCCGCAAACCTGCCAGGTGGGACATCCCCCTCTTCCAAAGCCACCCTCTTTGGACTACTTGTCCCATGTCACTGGGGAACTCAGGGTGGTGTGTCACTTGTTCTGATGACACAGATGACAGTCAGGGGGTTCGAGCAATTAGAAAGCAGGTCCAGGATCCAGCAAGACAATCCCCCCAAGGGAAAAGAAATGGCTTGTGAATTGCATCATTAAAAAAGAAATCGGTGCTAGGCAGAGGCTGGGAATCGGACTGAGTCACATGGACGCCTCCTGATGGAGGCCAGCAACACCGATGCAGCCACAGTGACCTCATTTGGAAAGCAGAGACCCCCCTTCACCTTAATGTTTTAAACTCTGATTTTTAGGAAAGCAGAGAGGAGGAGGAAAAGATCCTAAGAGTGTAATTGCCCATTTGGGCAGGAGGTGGTGTGACTGGCAGTGTAAGGGGGAGGGTGCTGAGGTCAGGGTTTCTCTGAAGCTGTCTCAGCCTCGAATTTGTGATCCTTTCTATGGAGTCCATACCCCTGCCCCACCCAAGGGCTGTAGCCTCCCTCTCCCTTCCCCCACCAGCACCATGTGGGCATGTGACAGGCTTTTCTCTGTTTCCGCACACCATCCCTATAGGTAGGTCCTGTTATCCTCTTTGATGACGGGGACACTGAGGCTCAGAGAGATGCATTCCTTTGTCCAAGATCACTTCCAGAGTCCCTGACTGCCGGACCCCGGAGGGATGATACTAAACGGGCTCCGGACACCTGTGTCGCCAGACTGGGAGGTGGGCAGCGTGAAGGAGTGCGGTGGGCGAGGGCGACCACTGAGGAGGTGAAGGCTGAGGGAGCACCCAGCAGGGCAAAGGAGACTTGGCGGGAAACCCGCGCTCACACGTCTCTAACCAGCTTCCGAAGGCAGCTGAGGCCCCGGGGCACCGACGGAGACCAGGCGGCGGAGGGGAGGGAGAGGGAGAGAGTCACCCCAGAGGAGGGAGCCCAGCGCCGTCGGGGTGGCTGGGGTGCAGCGCTGGCCCCGGCTGGACTGGGAGAGCGCGGCTCCCTCAGCGCCCCCTCCACACACCCCAGTCCCCTGGGCGGCCTCGAAAGGGACAGGAGGGCACTGCCGCCACCTCTGCCTCGACTCGGGGAGTTTCGAGCCTTCTTCCCATGGTAGCGGTGGGGTCCCCAGCCTGAGAGACCACCCAGAAGATTCAGAGACAGAGAGACAAAGAGATACTGGGTCGCAGCGGGAGAAGGCTAGCGCCGCGGAGGCGGGTAGGCGACAGGCAGGACCCCGAGAGGGCGGCGAGGCAGTGTCAGAGCGCGGAAAAGTGAGCGTCCAGTGGAAAGTGGGCGGACGAGGGGTCAGGAGCAAAGCCAAGAACCGAGGGGACACGCGAGGCGAGGAGCAGAGGCGGCAGCCAGAGTGGCTGTGGGACCGACGGTCAGGTCCGAGGGCCGGGCAGGGAGCAGCACCCTCACCTCCAGTCTCCGCGCCCTGCGCCCCGCCCCTGGGCGCGCCAGGTAGCCCACCTTTGTCCGGGCGCGCAGCCAGGTGAGGAGGGAGGGCGGGGCCAGGGGCGGGCCGAGGCCGTGCCTTACCTGTCCGGCCAGCGGGGAGGGGGCCGAGGGGCGCGAGGCCGAGCGCCTGCGGGAGCCGAGCGCAGCCGAGGGACGAGCGGCGGAGCCAGGACGGCGCGGAGAGGTGCGCGGGCGGCGGGAGGCTGTGCCCAGGCGGAGCGGGGCTGGGAGGAAGGGGGCGGGGGCGGGCGCGCGGGGAGGGGCCGGGGAGGGGCGCCGGCAGCGGGCTCGCTGCCCCCAACCGAGGGGCAGCCCTGGCTGGGCCCGTCCCCGCGCGCTCCCGGCCGGCGCGCCCTCGCCAGCTGCGCTCGGCGTTCGGGGCCCGCTCCCCAGAGGCCCAGCCGCCGCCGCCGCGAGGGCGCGGGGCAGACAAAGGAGGCAGACAAAGGCGGGCGCAGCCCGGCGGTCGTGCGGGCACCGGGCGAGGCGGGCCCGCTCCTCCGGTGCGTAAGAGCCGCCTCGGCGGGGCCCCGGGGCGCGTGGGACGGGAGGGGCGCCGGCAGCGGTGGCGCCTCCGTAGCGGCTCCGCGGGGAGCGGGCGACAAAGGGCCACGGCGGGGGGTCCCTGGCGGACCCCAACAATGGATCGAGGTTGCGCGCTCAGCTGCGGCCGCGTCTGGCCAGGCAGGGGCCGGCGGGTCCCCAAAAGGATTATTCCGCCTAGGCTGTCAAATGGGACGGAAGAAATGCCCCGGGCGGGGGAGGTGGGACGGGGCGCGGCGGGGCCTTTGTGGCCTCGGAAAGTGCGCGTAGTGGGGGTGGCTTTCGGAGAAGTCTCCTTCTGGGGCGCGCGGAGGGTCTTCCAAGTACTGCCACCTCACCTGGGGAGCCGACGGCGCACCTGCGGCACCCGCTCCCGCCCCAGCAGGGAAGGAAGAAATACGCTCCACACACACACACACACACACACACACACTCACAAACACACATACACACACGCACAAACACACGCGGTCCGCCTCTCGCCACGCCTCGTCCAAAGCCTTCCTGAAGCGCCTCAGTTCGGCCCAATCAATCGGGACAAAGCCAGGGCTTGGAGCCGGCTCATCTATCACCGCGCGGGGCGCCAAGTCCTGACGACCCTGGGAGTGCGGGAATGCCGGATTATGGGTCCCACGGTCCCCATAACTCACAACGGGGTCAGCGGGGGGCCTCCGGCACTGCAAAGATCAAAGAGCAGTGGGGCGGGACCCTGGCACGTGGAAAGCGGCGGCATCGCTGGGCGCCCAGAGCTTGCAGAGCGGCTTCCATTTCTCCAGAGCGTGACAAATCACAGCTTGGAGGTTTAAGAACTCCGCTCTGCGGTCAGGCTAGATGCCTGGGTGCCTCTTCTCGGCCATCCTGGGCAAGTTGCCTAACTTCTCTGAGCTCATCAATTTGCCCCTCTGGGGGTTCAGGACTAGAGGTGGTGGCCTGTATAAGAAGATAATATTCCTAAGGCCCTGACCCATAGGAAACTTCCAGAAAAATGAGTTGCCATTGTTATTGTAAGATTAATATCATAATGGGCACTAGAGGGTTTGGTGAGAATACTGTTTATTCACTGCAAGGCTTGAATCATTAATTCCGTAAGAATCTACTGAACACCTACTACGTGCTGGCCAGCACAAAAATGCAGTGGTAAATGACCTGGACAAGAATCAGTCCTTGCTCTGTGGAGCTTAAGTTCTAGTGAAGGAGGCAGAACATAAACAAGTTAGCAAATAATCAGGTGGTGGTTAGTGCTAGGAAGACAAAGCACATTTAGGAAAGAAAGCATAAGAGGTTTCCAAGAGGTATGGTTTTACATAAAATTGTCAGGAAAGCCATCTTTGGCAGTTGGGTTGGTTTGTTCATTTCGTAAAGAAAATGAAACATGTGACTGAAGGAGAATGCAGTTCAAAGGAACAGCCAGTGCTAAGGTCCTGAGGTAGGAGAATGCTTCATCTGTTCAAGGAAGGGATCTTGTGCAATAAAGTCAGACAGGAAGCTGGCACCGGATCAGATGAGTCTGTGAAGGCCATGGTAAAGGCTCTGGGTTTTTTTAGTCTGAATTGGAGGGCTGTGAGCACAACAGAGACATGCTTCTACTTGGGTTTTAACTGATTGACTGATTTCTAAACTTGAGACTAGATTTCAGTGGGATAAAGGCAAGGGCGGCAGGATTCTTCTCTTCAAGGAGAAAGCTGTGGTATGGCATTTATGTACCAGATGATAAACCCTGGAGACTCTGGCTCCAGGGCTGCTGTAGCTGTTTGGTGATCTTTTGATAAGCTTGAACTGTGTTCTCTGGGTTCTTCCAAAGCGATACTGTGGGGAAATGGTGGATGTTAGGAGAGACCCAGACTCCTTTCCCAGCCAGGTTTTGGTGACTTTGGCCCTCAGTTTCCCCATCTATAACCTGGGGCAGTCGAATGGCCAAAGATCCATCAACTGAGGAGAGAGTAAGGGAAATGTGGTGTATTCATGAGGGAATAGTATTCTGCCATAAAAAGGAACAAAGTATCAATACATGACACAACCTAGATGAACCTGTGACCTTGTGCTAAGACCTAAAAGGCCACAAATTCTATGATTATACTATTCAGAACAGGAAAGTCCACAGAAGCAGCAGGTGGATTGGTGGTGGCCAGGGGCCAAGGGAAGGGAAGGCAGGGCTGGCTGCTGGTGGGGAAGGGGAATTTGGTTTTCGGGTGATGAATTAGGTGGTGGTGATAGATGCACGACTCTGCCTGTACTAAAAACAGCTGAATTACCCACAGAAAAGTCTGAACTTTGGCTTGAGAATTATATCTCAACAAAGATAGTATTTTTTTTTTTAAAGTGGTAGTTGAGCTGAATCAGTGATTCTTGTGGCCCAGGATGGCTTCAGAGGATCCAAAAACTCCGAAAATCGTGTAAGATATTTAGCTTCCTGGTGCATTTCTTTGAGAAGAGAGCAAAGTTTAAGAAGAGATGATCTTAAGGTCCCCCTGACCAACGAGGGGTCAACACCACTGGGAAGTCAGCAGAACCCCCCAGAGGGCCCGGCGTGGGTGGGCTTTGGTCTGGCTGAGGTGTTGGAAGTTGTCCAGTGTTACTGGAACAAGATCAGGGTTCTGGTCATCAGTGGACCCCAAGATCAGGCGCAGCTGTGCAGGCCCAGCCTCACTGCAGGCCAGGTGAGGGAGGAGAGGAGTGTCTGTGGGTCCCTGCCCTCATCTTTAGGCTTCTCATGCCGCAGGGATGTGTGTGCTTCCCTAGGTCACCACGGGTGCTGCCGCCTTGGGAAGCAGAAACCGGGAGGTGGTGTAGCTATGAATGGTTGGGACATTGGCTCGTACAAAGTGGTTGTTCTGGGGACTTAAATAGTGAGCATGGGTCTTAATATCATTGTCATAATGGCCATCGATTGAGCATTTATACACCAGGCACTATGCATTTTATGTTTTAACAAAGAGTATCCCATTAACTCATCCCTATGGAATTGACCCATTATCCCATTTTTCAGACGAGCAAACTGAGGTTCAGAGAGAGAAGGGCCTTGCAGTTGGTTACGGAGCAGTGCTGGGGAGAGAAGCAGGCCTGGTGGGCATAGGGGGCGCTGTGGGGAACATGGCAAAACCCTGCTTTGTTTTTGAAAACAGCTCTTCTCTCCACATCGCCACCTACAGCCCAGGCTCTGAAATCAGAGCTGTTTTCTCCTTACCCAGACCACACAGGGCCCGAGCCAGGCAAGTGCTGATGAGCTGCGTCCACCAGGATTCCCTTCCTCCAGCAGGCTTTTTTTTTTGGTGGGGGTACTGGGGATTGAACTCAGGGGCACTCGACCACTGAGCCACACCCCCACCCTATTCTGTATTTGACTTAGAGACAGGGTCTCACTGAGTTGCTTAGGACCTCACTTTTGCTGAGGCTGGCTTTGAACTCGCCATCCTCCTGCCTCAGCCTCCTGAGCTGCTGGGATCCTTCCTCCATGATTCTTTGGTCCACGCATTTAACACATTCCCTGGGCACCTGAATTTGGCCAGGTCCTGGGTAAGGTGCTGAAAGACTGAGTGAGGCTGGGTCCCTGTTCAGGAGATATTCCAACTGCCTAGGCCTTGAGCATCAGTGGGATTGTCTCCAAGCTGTGTGCCTCACTCACTATGTCTGTCCCCTTCTCCTGGTGTCCTGGGAACCTCAGGCGGGATAGGATAGCGAATCCATCCTGGGACCAGCGTCAGGGCATGGGAGTGAGCTCAGAGCATCTTGGGGTCTGGAGACTTCACTGGGTCTTGTTTTACCAGTGGCTTATCCTGTGATTGTTCAGCGACCCCAGCACCCGCGCCGCCTGGGTGGGCCCCAGTCTTGGCTGGCTGCTGCTCAGCCTGTCTTGTGCTCACCTGCTCTGTTTCCATGTAGATGTCTCTTGGGAGTGTTTCCCCTTCATCCCCTTGTGGAGCCCCCAGGGGCCTGCTCCAGGCGGCAAATAAGCTCTTTCTCCCCCTTCACCCCACTCTTCCCTCCCAGCTGCCGTCCTCTGTATTGTCATTATGGTGGAAAACATGCAAATAACTTTGAAAAACAGTCTCTCCCGCAAAGGGGTATTCAAAAATGTAATAAACTAACCCCATGATGTAATCTGGGTCCCATGGCCATCCATCACGCTGATAGAATTAAGATATGAAGGACCAGATGGCCCAGAGACCCACGCACAGGTCCCCTGATGGTCCCATGCTGCATCGGACCCCTGCCCTTCCTCCTGCCCCGTCCCCAAGGAATTGTTCCCCTAAGACTGTCACGGCCTGTCACCAATAAAAAAGCTGCCAGGAGCAGCCTCCAGAGAGGGGTAAAGAAGGACCCTCTCGCTTTCCACAGTCAAACATTTGAAATCAGAAGGAGCCCAGGTTTGTAAGCCCCAGAGCGGCTCAGCCAGTTCTGTGTGGAAACGGCCCTCTCCTACGTGGTGTGATATGGCAGAGTCCCCAAGCATTGCTGTGCCCAAAATGTGCTGCCAAGTGTATCAGTTCCTGAAGCAAAATCATCTGTCCTTTGGGTTAAACATTGATATTTTACAAAATGCAAACTACAGTAGCAATTTCCATACTTCCTAGGGCATCCAGGCCCCTGGGGAGCTTGTTAAAGGGCCAGTGCCCTGCTGTATGCCCTGATCAGGTAGGTCAGGGGGGCTGGATGGCCTTGTGTTTAATAGGCTCCCTGGGGATTTGGATGCAGATTTCCTAAGTCTGCATTTTGAGAATGCTCTGCTGCCATCCCTGGCTTAATCAGCCAGGTCACTGATCCCCTTCCCACTAGAAGTAAGTAGTTGCAGGTTTGAAGGCACCTGGGCGGAGCCATCCAGTAATGAGCTGCACAGGGTCAAACCTCCTGGCTAGATCTGTGTGCCAACAGATGGGACTCCCAATAATCTCTTACATCCCTGAGGTCAAGACAAAGTCCTCTTGGCTTCTGGTCCTGACCTGTTATTGCGCATGACTCCACAGCAGCTTCTCTTCTCTTAGATTTCCTATCTGTAAATTAAAGGGGTATATTATTAGTCAGCTTTTGCATCCCTGGGACCAAAATACCCAACAAGAACAACTTAGAGGAGGAAAAGTTTATTTTGGGTCAGTCCATGGTAGGATGAGTCCATTGCTCTTCCAAGGGGAGGCAGAGCATCCTGGCTGAAGGGCAGGAGGCTGAAGGGTGGAGGAAAGCTGTGCAGGCCTTGGGCAGCCAAGAAGCAGAGCAGGGGACAAGGGAAGATGAACCCTTCCAGGGCAAGCCGCACCTGCCTACTGTCACCATCCAGTCATTCAGTCCATCCAAACTAGGACAGACTGATTAGGTTACAATGCCCACAATCTAATCATTTCACCCCGGAATATTCCTGTATTCACAAAGGAGCTTTTGGAGGACAGGTCATATCCAGATCCTAAGAGGGGAGATGTGAATTGGTTGAAGCTCTCGTGTCCAAATAGACATCAGAGCTGTGTTTGTATCCCACCTGTGTGATTTTGGTGAATTGAAGGAACATCTCTGGGCTTGTTTGCCATTCACAAAGTGGGACTGTAAAATGGATACTTAGCTCCTAGGACTAATGAGGGAATTAAAGAAATCAGGGGTGCTCAATCCATGATGGTGATTATTTTAATGTTATCACCTCTGAGGGCCTTTTCAGTTCTTCCAGACTTTGTCCATGCCTCTAGGGGACTCCAGAGCAGTAAAGTGTAAAGGCAGAAGGCACCTCTGCCTTCCTCCTGCAAGCTGTGTGATGGACAGCTTTTTTCACCCCTAATCCCAACCTCATTTGGCTCATCTGCAGAAAGGGGACAATCCTAGCAGGCCACGTGGAGTTATTCTGAGGACTTTCTGAAACAGTCCAGGAATCCAGTGCCTAGCACTAGGCTGGGACTTTACAGGGGCCAGATACTGTTAACAAGTAGGAAGTTTTTTCCTCTTGGGCGGTCAAGCCAGGCTGCACTTAGGTCCAGGGTAGTAAGTGGTGGGGCGGGGCTTCCGGTGCTCCCTCTTCCCCGCCCCCCAAGCCGGCCGATTCTCAGTTGGGTGGCTGAAGGTCTTGGGGATAGTGGCTCTGAGGTTAGCAGCAGATGTCGCTGTCCTCAATCTCCACCTATGTCCCGTACCTGGCTCTCACCAGAAACTCCTACCTTCTTTCTGCGCTTCCCAAAGCAAGATTTCCCCTGGAGGGAAAATACCTAGCGACCAGAAGTGGGGACCACAGTTATCTTTAGTCGCACCCACCTGAAGTCGAAGGCCGATCTCAACTTCCCGGCTGGTAGCAGCGCGGCCACCCAAGTTGGGTCCCGCCCCTTTCCTTTCGAGCCCCTCCCACGAAGGCTCCGCCCCCTGCAGTCGGACCCGCCCAGCGAGGCCCGGATTGGCCAGCGCCGGGGGTGGGCGTGGCCGGAGGCTCCCGAGCGCCGTGTACGTCACCGAGCGGCGCCGAAGCCGCGGGCTGAGCCGGAGGCGGTAGCTGCGGGACAGTTGGCTCCTGCACTGGGGCCCGGACCCGAGCCGCGGCGGGAAGTGAGGCCGCAGCCGGTACCGGGGAGGGGCGGGGAGCGGGATCCTCGGCGCGGGCGCTCCTGGTTCCGACCCGGCTCCGCCTTCCGCGTGCTGCGCTGTGCGCCCGGCCCTGCACGGCGAGCAGTTTCCCTCCGCGTGCGCGGCCCTGGCCTCCTGAGGGTGCCGCTCGGGCTTCCCTGTCCCCGGAGACAGCCGGGCGAGGGTCGATCGGGGCGCAGAGGGAGTCCCGGGCCGTGGGGGCCCCGCGCCCTGCGGCCTGGTTCCTTGGTTTACCCCCTGCGCCCCGCCCCTCCAGGCCGCGGAAGATGACCACACTCACGCGACAGGACCTCAACTTTGGCCAAGGTAGGGAGGCCAGACCGGCAGACCCAGAGGGAGGGGTCTGGGCTTCGGGCTTCCCCGGAGCACCGGCGAGTGTCCCCTTTTACAGTGGTGGCCGACGTGCTCTGCGAGTTCCTGGAGGTGGCCGTGCACCTAATCCTCTACGTGCGCGAGGTCTACCCCGTGGGCATCTTCCAGAAACGCAAGAAGTACAACGTTCCCGTCCAGGTGAGCGCACACCGCGGGGTTGGGCCCCTGGTGGCCCCAGAATCTCAGAGTGGGTAAAAGAATTTTATCCCCCCACCACGCCTCCTCTTTCTGGTAGCCCTGCAGTTACAGGTAGCCCTGCAGTTACTGTAGAGCTTTCCCTCGCCTTCCCCTTGCCAGAAGTTACAGAACGTCAAATCAGAGTTGTCCTGGGGGCATATTCTTTATTTTATTTTATTTTTTTAAAGAGAGAATTTTAATATTTATTTTTTAGTTTTTGGTGGACACAACATCTTTGTTTGTATGTGGTGCTGAGAATCGAACCCGGGCCGCACGCATGCCAGGCGAGCGCGCTACCGCTTGAGCCACATCCCCAGCCCCCTGGGGGCATATTCTAAAAGAGCTCCTGCAGCCAGCATGGTGACATACAGCTACTCAGAAGGCTGAGGCAGGAGGATTGCACATTCAGATCAGCCTGGACAGCTTAGTGAGACCCTGTCTCAAAATAAAAAAGGGCTGGGGATGCAGCTTAGTGGTAGAGTGCTTGCCTAGTTTGTGCAAGGCCCTGGGTTCCACAGGGAGAGGGAACTAGCTAGCTCCTCAGCCAACCAGCCAGCCAGAAGGGAGCCTTAGTTTGGGGAAAGGATTCCCAGAAGTTTCCAGCACTTTCTTCCCCATTCATTGGCTCTTTAATGGGTTGTTTAAGGTTAAAAGGCAGATAAAGCAGTAAACATGCTGTGCTAATCCAATCCCTAAAGTGCCTGTTCCATAGAAGGCACATTAGCATACATGACCACTGGATATTGGAAGTGGTACAAACTTAAAGGTTATACAGGGAAAAGGAAAAGCCAAATAGCAACCAATGTGTCCTAGGTATGTACTTAAGACTTAAGAGATGAAATAATTGAAGCTCAGAAAAGTTAAGTAATTTTCCCAAAGCCACACAGCTCCTTAGTGCTTAATTTTCAAACTCTGATTAAGTTTGTTGAGATTCTCTGAGAAAATGGCCATGGGCACAAATATAAGTTGGTGCATAATTTTAGGGCCTTTTCAGACTCTTTGAAAATCCCATTCCTAATGTTCCATTAAATGCTAGTGTTGAGACTGAATTATTCTTTGAACTTTTCTTTACCATGGATAAACTCATAATTTTTAGCCCCATGAAGGGAAGCCAGATCTCTTGGGCAGGGAGCCCTGGGGAGCTGCTGGGTTTCTGTTCAAAGGCAAGCGGTCGGGTGGTGTGTCAGTTCTCCCCCGTGCTTCTGGCCTTAGCAGCCGTGTGGGGTTGTATGCAGATGTCCTGCCACCCGGAGCTGAACCAGTACATCCAGGACACGCTGCACTGTGTCAAGCCACTTCTGGAGAAGGTGAGGGGACACCAGGCCCTTCCACCCTGTCACCCCAGTCTGTTCCTCTTGAGTGGAGTGATGCTGAGACTCTGTGGGCCCCCATGGCTCTAATACCCAGAATCCTGTTCCCTGCACTCCCTACCAAACGACAGGCCCCAGGGCATGTGGGCCACATTTGGGGAGCCTTCTGCGGGTGGCTGGAGCCTGGGCTAGCTTTGCTGGCCGAATGGGGACTGCCTCAGAGGGTCTGAGTTCCTGCCATGTCTGCCCCCCCACCATAAGTTCTGTCTGGCTGGGGCCCCAGGCTTGCCTTTCCTTCCTGTTCTGGTCTTAGGCTTCCTGGGCCTCCCTGGCGCCACCCTCTCCTCCCAGCTGCACCTCCGTGTCCTGGGGTGCCACTCTCTGGGCTTTCAGGGAGCCTTGGGCTAATGGTGGAGGTGGCCAGGGAGTACCCTTTGCTACCCTTCCTTGGGCAGGGAGGGGCAAGGGGGCAGGGCAGAGTGCCCAGCTCTGGAGCTCTGGTGCCTGTCCTTGCAGAACGACGTGGAGAAGGTGGTGGTGGTAATCTTGGACAAGGAGCACCGCCCGGTGGAGAAGTTTGTCTTTGAGATCACTCAGCCTCCGCTGCTGTCCATCAGGTGGGCTGCTGTCCCTGCCACCTGCTGGCTGGCTGTGACCTGGAACAGTGACCCCTCTACCCCACTGAAGGCAGCCCCTGACCACCTTGGTAAATGCCTGAGAGGAGAAATTGGCAAGATGTGCCATTTCTTGAGACATGGGTGGCTGCATCTTTGTGGTCAGTACACAGTTGTCATGGACATCTTCCTGTGTTGCACTTAAAAATCCTAGCATTGGTGACTGCCAGTCCTGACCTCACTCTGTGGAGACACCAAGGTCCAGAGAGGTGACACAGCTGCCCCGGAGTGCCCCAGTTTCCCAACTTAGACAGCATCAGTCCATAGTGAACTAGAAGTTGGCCTTGGGCATGCGCATGCTTCCTATGGCAGGTCGGCACTGGACCTGGCACCAACCTGTTCCCACTGGCCGCATGGCCCCAGACAAGCCCTTCCCCTTCTGGCCTGTGTGCAGAGTCCTGGCTGCGTCCTGGCTCTCCTGCCTGACTCCGCACTGGAACCGCCTGGGAGGTCCCCGTGCTCTTCCTCCACTATGTCGGGGGTGGGGGGCTGGGCTGGCATCCTCAGGGGCACTGCAGGGGCTCTGGGCCTGGAGCGACCGGGGACCTCCTCTCGCTCTCAGCTCCGACTCTCTGCTGTCCCACGTGGAGCAGCTGCTCCGAGCCTTCATCCTGAAGATCAGCGTGTGTGATGCTGTCCTGGACCACAACCCCCCAGGTCGGTGACTTCCCCCTAGTGTGTCCCTGGCTGCCTTGGGTTGCTCTGTGTTCCCTGTTTGGCTATACCGACCCTGGTCCTGACCTTCGTGCCCACCTCCTGGGAAGCTTCCCTGATTGACTCCACCTGGCTTCAGCCTTCTAGCGACTGTGCCCCCTCTTAGCCCTCAGCACACACTCTGCACCATGGGGTTTCTGAGCCAGCTGGGGAGGTGGGACAGAGCTGGGCCCAGGGCAGGCTCCTGGTGGCCCAGCCTTGACCAGACTCTCGCCTCTTCAGGCTGCACCTTCACAGTTCTGGTGCACACAAGAGAAGCTGCCACCCGAAATATGGAGAAGATCCAGGTCATTAAGGTGAGATGAGACCAGTCTGGCGGGGACAGGATGGCCACTGGGGGGCTCTGAAGCACGATGCCACAGCTGTAGGCATGAGTGTGTTGTGGCTGGTGTCCTTGGGTGCTGGCAGCAGTGCCTGGCACCCGGCAGGTTCCCATGAGTGTTAATTGTGTGGCCGTGTGCCTGGTCCTGCTCCATCTGGGCACCCAGAGCTGAGAGGAGCCCAGATGGAGCCACATGCCGGGGCTGCCAGCTCATCTTGCCTCTTCTGAAGTGGGGGTTCTCAAGGGAGGGTCCTTACCCACCCATTTCAAATTCAGTGCTTGAGGCTTGGAAATCACAGGAGGTTCCAGCCTTCCTGGTGGGGAAGCCCGTGAATTGCCAGCAGCTCCCCAGGGATTCTGAGGACCCCAGCTCTGGAGGGGAGGGTTTGCAAATGGAGGGATGGCCAGGGTCCCACTGTCCCACCCCTCTTTGTGGGTCACCTTCCTAGGACTTCCCCTGGATCCTGGCAGATGAGCAGGACGTCCACATGCACGACCCCCGGCTGATCCCCTTGAAGACCATGACATCAGACATCTTAAAGGTGAGCTGGCTGAGGAGGTCCAGCCTAGAGCCCAGGCTTGGAAGAGGACTAGGGAGGCTCCGTCCCCTTCCCCCTCCCTCCACCTTGGGCAGAGACCACCTGCCACCTGTGAGCTCGCCAGGGGGTGGCAGTGGCCCTCACTGAGGCTGCCTGCTTCTTCTCATTAGATGCAGCTCTACGTGGAAGAACGAGCTCACAAAAGCAGCTGAGGTGCGCCTGCCACCCTGATGAGGGGGTCTCCAGCCCAGGGCGGCGCTGCAGGGCCACCCAGACTCCAAGTGCTCTTACTGCCTCTGTGTACAGATGCCACCTCCAGCCCAGGGCTGCTCAGGCTGGTGGTCTTCATGGACAAGGCCTCCCTAGGAGGGCAGTCGGGACACTGGGACCGTGATGTCTTGGTCTCTTGGCTTCGGCTGGCCAACACTGTCTGTCTCAAAAACTGTGCTGTGAGTTACTTCAATAAAAGGGCCCCAAGGGCTGACTGGGCTGTCACTAACTAGAGCGGTGACAAGTGCAGCGAGCCACCCTGGGCTGCTTCTCTGTTGGGGTGCCAGCAGCCCACCCCACCTGTAAACGCAAGCCCAGGCTGGTTTTACTGGAAACATTTATTTTGACAAAACATTAGCACTGTGTGACCGTCTGCCCAAGGCTGGAACTGGGGCTGGAGCTCCGGGGCAGGGACCTCACTGCGCACTACAGGCTCAGCTCTTGCCTGGAGGGACCCTCCCTTTGTCCTGGACAGAAGATGGACGGATGGCTGCAGATGACCACAGGCTGTCCTCTGGCCCATGGAGATGAAATGGGAAGGGCCACTAGGAAGCCTCCCCCTGTCCCTGCAGTGCCTCAGGCAGAGCCCCGGAGGGAGCCAGGCTCCTGCTGGTCTTGGGGCTGATGATGATGCTGCTGTTGGTGACACGGGGCCCATACCAGCCTGCCCAGAACTGGGTGTCCTTGCCCCCGTGCTGGAACAGGATGTGGCGGACGCCTGGAGGGTAGTCAGAGAAGGTGTGGGAGACCTAGGGAGAGGAGGTAGCCACGGTTACTGGGGACGCCCATGTTTGCTGCCATCCTGGTGCTGGGAGAAGGGTGGGCAACAGGTGAGGCCTCACCTCTGTCCACGTCGCGTCGTTCCACTGATGGACAGTCACGGGTGGGGGCTCGAAGGAGGCCAAGACGATGTAGTCGGCGGAGGCCAGCTGCACCCGGATGTGGTAGGAGCAGCCACAGTCGGCCCTGGCAGCGAACCTGGGGGCGGTGGGGGAGGCTCAGCTGCCATCAAGAGCCACTGAAGGCTGCCCTGGGGGCGGGGGCAGGCCAAGCCCAGGACCTGAGCTTGCTCCCTCTGCCAGCTGCTCTGCCCAGGAGGCCCAGCTGGCCTTGGCACTCCCTGTGCCCTGGGGTACAGTCTATCCATGGGGAGCCTTAGTTACCCCATTTGAGAAAACCGGCAACCTTTGAGCATTCTACTAAAGATTTGATCCCCCAAAACAAAAAGGTCCTCTACAGAGACCAAGGCCCCATCTGTCTAAGCTGTGTCACCTATGTCACAGTGGCCCAGAACATTCAAGTTGGGGACCTGTGTGGTGGGGGCTGGCAGAGCTCACCTCTCAGTTCAACCACCCTTCAAACATCACCCCTTCTCTCTCAGAGGTGGCCCTGGGACCTGCTGGACCTGGTGCATGGCCCAAGCCAGTGCCAGTGCCTCACAGTTCTGTGTGGGCAGGAGCCTGGGCAAGTGCTGTGGGATGGGCGGGTGCAGCCGGTGGCAGAGCAGGTGCAGAGCATGCCTGAGGCCGAGCCCTGTCCCCAAAGCCGTGAATTCAGAGAGCTGTGGGTGACCAGGGAGAAAGTGTGTGCAGGTGCCCACAGAATCCAGAGGGCAGCGTCCCTGCTGCTTCCAGGCCTTGGTGACTGTTTCCATCCATAGGCCTCAGTCTCCCATCTGCAAACGGGCCGGCGTGTCCTGCTGACTACATCGTGGAGAGGGAGGGGGACTGGGTGCTGGGTCCCTAGAGGCAGCCCTAGCCCCCAGGATGCTGCTGGCACAGCAGGGGCACTCACCATAGGTTCTCTGACCCAGTGACTATGGCAGGAGGGGAGGGAAAGGGTGCACAGTGGGGACACTGGCCATGGGCCCCACTCACCAGTCCTTCACCACGATCTCAGGCCGGAATGTGTCCAGCAGCTCCTCCCAGTAGCCCTCGGCCTTGAGGTCCACCAGCTGGGACTTGAGGCACATGCTGAGGGGCAAAGGGCAAGGCTGTCACACCCAGATGTGCTATGCAGGACTCTGTGGGCCCAGTGAGGTGGCCCAGGAACCCAGGGGCTGCTCTCAACCGCCGCAGGACTCCAGCGTCCACTCGGGGGCAGACCCATGGGAAACAACATGTAGGTGATGTGACCCGCTTGGGCCTGGGCAGCATCTGATCCCAGTTGAAAGGCCCAGTCTCCAGGTGGCTGTGGTGGGCCTTCTGTAACTCCAGTCGTAGATCAGGACCGCCTGCAGACACCCTGCCTTACCCTACTGCCCCGCGAACTCCTGGCGGCCTGGAACTCCTCTCCCCCTGCCTGGACAGGAAGCTTACTGGCTCCAGGAAGCTGTGGGCTCTGAATGTGTCTGGGAACCGCTCCCCCAAGCTTCCCGAGGCCCTCAGGTAGGCCTGAGGTTTGCAAAGGTGTCCTGGACCTCAGCCCTCAACCCAAGCCTGCTGGCTTCAGCCCCTCTTACCCGTAGGAGGTGACAAAGTACTTCTTGACTTGGGGGTCAGGAAAATCTGTGCCATGCTCTCCAGGCAGGCTCTCCACCTTCCAGTGGTCCCCCCCATTGGAGTCGATTCGCCAAGACCCCATATCCTCTAGGAGAAATGGAACTGAGGTGAGATCCCTGCGGAAAGCTGAGGCCCACCTTCCCCAGCTGGCCGGCTTTCAGGCCAGTGATACTGCAGCCGGGGTCAGTCCCCCACCAGCTGAAGAGCATCTCACCTGTGCCTCGGGGCCCCCAGTACATTCCCACCTGGGTCCCTGTGCTGGGCTCTGACCTGGACTCATTCCCTCCCGCTCTGTTCTGATCTGGCTTGGCTCCTAAGGTGCAGTTCAGTTCTTAAAATTAAATCTCAAAAGAGCCTGTGAGAGTGCTTGGTCCCCAGGACTGATGTGAGTTCCATCAATGCACGCCACTCACTTGACCACTGGCCTCCCCTGACGTCCAGGAGGAAGAGGATGTCAATTAACTGCATAACCACAATCCGGGAGGACTGGCTGGAGGGTTTCAGGGAACCTGTTATTCCTATATGGCTCTACCCGTGGCAAGAGTGGCCAGTGGGGACAGGCACCCTGGGCTGGTGGCTGCAGGAACCCTGTGTTCAAGGACCTCCATCGGGTGGGCTCAGCAGGTGCAGGGCGCCTCCTCCTCACACTGAGCTCAGAGGAGCTGAGCGGGTGACAGTGCCCCTCGGCTGAGGCTGCCCAGGGCATCACCACCGCAGCTTTTCCATACTGCTCACCCAAGGGGAGCCCACACATCTGGCCCCCATGTGGCCTGGGGGTTTCCCAAGCAGAGAACCAAGAGAGAAATGCAGAACCACACGGGGCTATGCTGGTCTGAGCTTAGGCCCAGGGAAGATCCAGCCAGCCAGGGGTGACTGCTGCCAGACGCAGGCCCAGCCCCAGGCTTTGGGAGGCCCCATTGGCTGAGTGGGCAGCTCGACTGGGCAGCTTATGGACAGAATCTGGAGCAGGCAGGAAGAAGGCTGGGCACTGGCAGTGGGCCTCTGAGAGGGCCTGAGCCTTTGTTAGTCAGGACGGGACCTCAAGACTGCCAGTTCCAGATCTCAGGGCAAGTCATCTCAGGGCCCACAGCACCCGCCTAGCAAATGGAGCTGCCCTCAAGGCCAATGAGGATGAAGAGAAAACCAGTGGAAAATGACCTAAGTGCCCAGATGAGGCCTCTTAATCACCACTGTGTCCTGAAAGGAGCCTGGTGCTCTGGGCATGGTAGGTGCTAAGTGAAGGAAGGAGGAAACAGACACAAGAACCCCCCTGGAAAACACAAAAGTACTACAGGCGACACGTGGGTCCCAAACTATGACTGGAGTCACCTCTGGATCCTCACTTTTTGCAGAGGAGGGTTACCACGTCTGGAATATCCTTAGACAAGTGCCGGGCGCAGAGAAGGCCCTGGAGAGCAAGGCAGCTTGTGCTGAGCTAAGGGGACAGGCGGATCTGCAGCGTTCATCCAGCGAACACCTCTGAGCACCTGCCACGCGACAGCATCTTTGTGGGAACTGTACAGTGGCTCATTAGGGCCTCTGGAACTTCAAGTTTGTACCAGAGGGCAGAAAACTGTAGCGTGAACAGTGCTGCTACGGGGCGGTAAACGGTAGGCAATAGGTGGGAGGCACTGTGTTTAGATGGGAGGTCAGGACAGGTCTCTGAACTGAGACCTGAAGAATGGAGAGGAGCCAAGGTCTTAGGGGACTGGAATAGCAAGTGCAAGGGCCCTGAGGTTCAGAAAAGCCAAGGAGCCAGCGCTGTGGTAGCCCCAGCCCACCTTCAGCACACGGGTTGCGTAGGAGGTTCCTGCGGAGGCTGCACAGAAAGTAGAAGATCTTCCAGTCGGCCACGGGCTGGTCCCAGTCCTCTGTGACAAAGCCCTCGCGCAGGCATTTGCGCTTCCAGAGGGTCACGAGGTCGATGAGGTCTCGCCAGAGGCTGCAGACGGGCCGGCAGTGCAGCAGCAGCTGGCGGGCAGGCACGTGCATGAACAGCTCCAGCAGGATGTTCTCGGGCAGCTCGTTGATGCTGACCAGGGCCATGGCGGTGGAGGGTAGTGTGCACACAAGGGTCTGCGGGGGACAGTGGTGATGAGCCCAGAGCAGCCAGGTGGACCCCGAGATCCAAAGGACTGGCTCTTCTCCACTCCTGTTTCCTCTTTTGTGAAAACAAGGGGTTAGGGAGCATTCCCAGGGCCTTCCCACTGCACAGGGGTGGTCCCATTTACACACATTTGGAAGAGTAAATAAAAGTAATTAAGATTTTAGGCACAGAGCAGGGCACGGCAGCCCACCCGGATAGCCCCAGCTACTTGGCTTCAAAGGCTGAGGCAGGAGGACAACAACCCCAGGAGTTCAAGATCAGCCTGGGCAAGGTAGTGACTTGTAGCTCAAAAAAAAAAAAAAAGATTATTTTCAAACCCCAACTAAAAAATAATTGCTCAATTCTGAAGCCAGGTGCCTGGTTGACCTGTCCTAAGAGTTTGCTGGGGCCACCTGTTGTATGAGGTTCTAAGAGGGTTTGGTGATGGTCCTGCACTACTGTGAATTCAGAATATAGAAATCCAGCTTCCAGCCGCTGACTAATGTTCCTTGGGGAGGGGCTGCTGCTGCAAACAGCTTCCCTTTCCCAAACCGCTCCCTTGGGCCTGGAATTCAGATGAGGAAACACACCTGGAGCGACCCTGCAGCGGTGGCTGGGCTGCCTTGGTGTGTCTGGCCAGGC